TCATTAGCGTTTCGAATTGTATTGCTCATTAACTTTTTAAGATGTTAGGTACATGTCATAAAGATGATTTTTTTCCTAAAATTTAGAATAACTGACTGCAATTGCACAAATAAATCACCATTTCCGCAGTGAAGAAAGAAGAAAAGAAATGTCTGTATTTGAAGTAACACTTTAAGCCCGGGTTAGGGTGCTGCTGGCAGTACCCCCATAAATTCAGTGGGAAAAAAATAAACATTCAAAAAAAAAAGCTGAGAGAAAATAAATAGGACGTTCATGATCGGGCGTTCTGAAACGTCTGCAGGGCTAAAGGTTAAACTTTATTTCACCATCTAATTTAGTACTGTACCTTTGCAGACCTCTCTCGCCTGTCAATCTGCCTTCGATATCTACTTCGCATTGGAATCATTTCCTCATGTCCTTGCAACTACCTTCCCTAATCTCTGGGTTAACATGCATTTTTATTTCATGCCTAAAGATTACCTTGCTCCTTTATTGGACACCAAACACTCATTCTTTTAGTTTGTATTAGAAATTGTGTTTGTCATCTGAGCAAAGAAATAAACTTTATACTGCTATATTTGCTTTGAAATCTACCTGTTTTAATTCAATCTCCAAAACACAAATTATCTACACACCATATTTAAATGTCAACAACAGTATCCATAATTTTTCAATTTTCTTAATTACTATCCCTCAAATTACCTCAGCTGACAGATGTTCATTTCTTGTACTAGATAATGCTGGCTCTTTGATAATGGTAGATATAGAATACTGAGTTCTTTGAAATCCTTGAGTAGGAAACTCTTATAGCATGAGACACACCTAGAACATTTGTTTGATAATTTTTTAATTCATTTTTGTGATTTTCATGAACCCCAAATAAAGGATCACCCTTTTGCCCTCCATTATTGATAGCTTTCGTTGTCCTGTGCAGTTGGCTTTCCGTCTACCGCAGATATCCAAAATAGGCCGGCGTAATGGGCAGGAATGTAAACACTAGTACACAGATGACTAGGAAAAACAATTGGAAAACCTAACTTTGGCATACGTGTGATGACAGAGATGATTCTCAACTCTATTATAACAACACTGTCTTGAGATGACATGATGAAGGAAAAAGTGACTTGTTTTCCATAAAAACTGTTTCTGAATTATCTATATTGTATGGGGTTTGAAACACACTTCATATAAATTTGCAGCATGGTGACAGCCAATATAAATTAAAACACCAATTTTGATTTTTCAAATCTATGTAGCTCCTCATTTATCACTGTTTTAACAACTTGCTTCGGCCAAAATGTCTAAATAAACATTTTGAAATCTCCTGGCCGCTTCCAGGGTCCATGGCATTGAAGGTTGTCATCGCTCCAAATCTTCTGACGAAGCATATTTGCTTCGTTATCTTCTTTGTACTCAATATAAACCTAATCGTATTTATACCTCGCCTCTTTGCTTTCAAATGATGGTCATAATGGTTGGCAATGCACATGTACACCCAAAAAAAATCAAACAATTCCCCAGATTTGTAGAATTGTCTAATTCTAAGCAGTTTATATTAAAAAAAAAAAAAGCCTGCTTGATCACTATTGCCTTCATATTTGCTGGCGTTTACTAGACTGGTGACGATGAGGCACGCTTAGTCTTTTATTTCCTTGCCTGCAAACTTGTAGGGAACCAATTTAAGATTGACTGAAATGAGATATCAGGTCCCAGGCAGACAACCTATTATTTAATCCACAGCAATACCAGCAAAAACTTCCCCTCATTTATATTACAGACAGCAACTTACAGTGAGGCCATAACTTTGTATTAGAGAAAGTATGTATTAAGCCAATTCATGGGGCCTGCCTTTCAGGCCAGGGGCGTCTGCAAAACAGTTAAACCAAACATATGCAGCAGGTTAATTAATAGTAGGTCTAAATGTCTGAGACCTGAAAGATAGAGGCATAATTATCAGAAGCAGTGCACGGAAAGAGGATTAACTTTAATATTATGGTGATGTGAACAAAAAGAATGAAGCTAGATGTACCATAAACCTTCTTTAATTTAATGGTAAAAAGAAAAAGATAAATGACAATAATGGATAAAGTGAAAACTTAAAAATATATGCTGGACAAGGATGTATATAAGAATAAAAAAAGAAAATATGAAATAAGATAGAAAAGACATTTAGATTTTGTCTGCTGAGATGATATATTCTTCAAGAATAGAACTACTGCACTCAGAGATAAATATATCAATGATAAATTAATTTGTTTAAGCTCAACAACCACGACAATTAATGAAGATGATGTTTACACCAGGAAATTTCAAAAAAGTGATCAGGGACATAAACTATAAATAATAAGATTATAAAACTAATTTTCAAACTAAGCAGACTGAACTTCAAAAGACTCACCAAGTTCCTAATGAAAATAATTTATACCAGATGGACACCAATCATCCTCTATTCCCCATATTCTAAATTAAATATAAAACAAAAACTATCTGTATCCTTTACTCACTTCAAAACCTTCTTGTCACTTCACATCATAATCTACCTTTCTCTTTCAACATCTTTGCTTCAAAAATCAATTCACATTTCAAAGAACAAACTGAATACTATACTATTTCATCACTAAACTTTAATTACTGTGAATATCAACATATATTCCTTCCATTCTCTCCTCCCAAGAATTGCTCCTTTATTGATTCATAACATCCTTAAGCTCCCATTGCTCACCCAGAAAAGCTGTGAAGATGACAACCTCAGGAAGTTTAAATTCATCTTTGCACCAAACTCTAATAGAGAGTCTCACCAATCATCCTCAGGTACACTATTGATTTCCTGAAATGTTACATCAGTCAAATACTCAATAAAGAAAGTAAAGACTAGGAAAAATTACCAAAATAATCCAAATATGCAAATTAACAAGAATTAATCGATCCAAACACATCTTCTCACAAGGTCACTAGCCAATATAAATTAACTTGAAAGGCAGTATATGAAAAATCACGAACAAATCATTACTTATTTAATGAACAAACTATAAATAAACAGCTTGTTTATCATTTGTGGAGTGGGGCAGGTCATTCTCTCACTACAAAGTGACCATTTGGGCATGGGTGTCCTCAATATAGTTATTTTTCTATACTCTGAAGTGAGAGGTAAAAGTTGGTGGCAAGAGTAACCCAGCCTGGCTAACAAAAGTCAAAGACAACTTGTTGAAGTTTATTTGTCACCGTGTCCCCACACCTGCTAACCATCTCACCTTCAACCAACATGATCAACTCTGCAACATTCATCTTCAAGCTCTAGTAAGTACAGTACAAAATATTGACAAATTTTATTAACCCAAGACTTTGATC